AAGAAACTGAGAAAAGAATAAGTAACTCTGTCTGAACAGTGAACAATGTTCTTTGAAGGAACAATACTGTGCAAGCAGAGGTTTCTACACCAAATGCCACAAAATTAATCATACATGTAGTTTAGCATCCAGAGAAGAAACCACTCCGTGCAGTTTGGGTGAAGAAATAAAGGTTTCATGCATAACGTTAACCCTAGGCAACTACACTGTATAAACCAAATGCAAATTAAAAGATATTGTCTGTGGCAGCTTATACTTGAACCAGCTATCATGAATGAGTCTTCTCCATTTTTGATTCACTAGATAATGGACTGGCCCTGGTTGTTCAAATTTTGGATAGTACTACCCACCAGATATAACACTATTCAGTAGTTAAGTATTAGGGAAACTGTTTGTGTTATTCACTGGATAGTGCTATCCACCTTGAACTACTTTGAGTATTTTGAGGTCAATCATTTTTGTCTGTCTGTAGAATAAAAAAAATTAACATACCTGTAGCTCTGAAAGTGGTGAAGAATTTGGCAGCAGTCTATGCAACAAAGCTGTAGTGTCCACACTAACAACAGATTCTTTATCCCCATCATTGTCTTGGGTTTCATAATCTGTAAAATATGAAAATGCCTTACTTCAAAGCAAAAAGTTGAAATCTAACTTCTCAAGCCCAACAAGGGCAGGGTAGTCTGCAAGTATCATGAAATCATCACATAATTACCTGTTACAAATAAAGACGCCTTGATTGTGCGCTGTTCTGTTATTAAGCATGCAGGAAGCATCTAGAGCACGAAAGAAGAGTAGGAAGAAACACAAGACATGGACGAGTGCTTCTCCTCATTTCTCGAGTACGGAGGAAGGGCGGGAAAGAAAATAGCTAAAAGAAACCTCATGGCACTGGCACCACTGAATTCACTTGAAGGATGTAGTGAAATACTGGGCATGTACATGTCGAACAACTGTGGACCTCTTGCACTGAGGGCACTCTTAGTTTTTAACTCCTTTAAATTGCATTTAAATGCATTAATAATTATCATAATAATAATAATAATAAATAATTATAGTAATAATAATACCATTTCAAGTTTTAAAATTTTTTTTTAGTTCTCAAGGATTCACCCCCAATAATAAAATAATATTATTTATGATAATTGCTATCCACTCCATAATTCACCTGCAGTTGTGGTACTTGGTGTGTGATCATAATCTCCCTGATCTGAGAACCCTTTACAGTTTTGCAGCATCATGTGAAGATGTCCCCTGACTTGCTCCATCTCCTGGATATCTGTGTTTGTGATGCTGCTAAAGTCAAGTCCTTGCTGTAAACAACAATGACCTCATTAGCTGGATTTAGGAAATTCGAAGAGCCCCAGCAAGGGTACTCCTGTGTTATAATAGTGGTGGTGTTCAGAAAATTTGTAGAATGCCCCTACATAATAAAGGTATCAGATACTCACTTTATGGAGGTCAGGCCTTNAAGAGTAGGAAGAAACACAAGACATGGACGAGTGCTTCTCCTCATTTCTCGAGTACGGAGGAAGGGCGGGAAAGAAAATAGCTAAAAGAAACCTCATGGCACTGGCACCACTGAATTCACTTGAAGGATGTAGTGAAATACTGGGCATGTACATGTCGAACAACTGTGGACCTCTTGCACTGAGGGCACTCTTAGTTTTTAACTCCTTTAAATTGCATTTAAATGCATTAATAATTATCATAATAATAATAATAATAAATAATTATAGTAATAATAATACCATTTCAAGTTTTAAAATTTTTTTTTAGTTCTCAAGGATTCACCCCCAATAATAAAATAATATTATTTATGATAATTGCTATCCACTCCATAATTCACCTGCAGTTGTGGTACTTGGTGTGTGATCATAATCTCCCTGATCTGAGAACCCTTTACAGTTTTGCAGCATCATGTGAAGATGTCCCCTGACTTGCTCCATCTCCTGGATATCTGTGTTTGTGATGCTGCTAAAGTCAAGTCCTTGCTGTAAACAACAATGACCTCATTAGCTGGATTTAGGAAATTCGAAGAGCCCCAGCAAGGGTACTCCTGTGTTATAATAGTGGTGGTGTTCAGAAAATTTGTAGAATGCCCCTACATAATAAAGGTATCAGATACTCACTTTATGGAGGTCAGGCCTTGAAATTAATTTCAACTTTCGACAGGCAGACCACCCTCTGCTCGTGTGACCATTGTTGTCATTGTTGTCTTTAGTACTCAATATAAGAAATACAGACGCACATTATGGCAGCTGCATTTTATTCCAAAATACAGATTTGACCTGAAATACAGAGCATTTGCAGTAAAAACATGACAGATAACTAAGTCAACATTTCGCTTGAAGATTTCAGTTCAAATCTGTAATTTGGAGTAAATTGTAGCTGCCGTAATGTTCAACTGTATTTGTTCTATTGAGTACAAAAGACTGATGCTCAAATTTCAAAAACAACAACAGCCACATAAACAGATGGTGGTCTGCCTGTGGTACAAAATCAGTTGAGTAGCCAATAGCTCTAAATTTTATGATCAACACCTAGAAGGTACTGCAACAGTTCTGATTATGACAATCCTTTTAGATTAAAGCACCCCATATTAGCAGCACCAATCCACAAAATGATAAAGGACTGGAGAAAGGAGGATTGCTACAGGCAAGTACTGTACCCCCCAAGTACAGCACTGATGATCGAGGGGAGTTCTCCCATCCTCTTTGACACATTTTGAATTCAGTCAATGCACCTGATGATAAAATAATAATGACACACTGCAACCTCAGCTTATTGCACCAGTAACAATTTGGATACCATGTTTAATACCAATACATAGAACAAAAATGACCAAGTAAAAAGGGGTTTATATTTTTTTAAGTGTGTAGCTTATATGCAGGGATGTTATTAAGGTTTCAAGTTGCTGGGTAAATACAACAAGTAGGCGGGGAATCAAACAGCTGGGGATTTCTTTTGGTTCTATTTTCCTATACAACTAGCTGGGAGCCATGTTCATTATTTATAGCTGGGGGAAATTCCCGGCCCCTGGCTCTTAATGACAACCTTGTATATGTCTTACAAAATGTAAAATAATGTTCTGCAAATGGCAATATAAGGCCCAGTTCATATGTTGCACTTCTGCCTTGCCAAACTTAATTTAAGAATTAAGTTTGACAAAAGCACGGCAGAAGCAAGACATCTGAATCAAAGTTTGATTCGGCAGAGCAATTAAGTACCACAATGTCTGCTATGCTACACAACTCTGGCACAGCGCTGATTCCAATGTTGTGCTTATACCATGTCAAATTAAATTCATAAATTTTGGAAATGTGTTTTCCAAAATGTATATTTTTTGTGCCATTTAGAACTGACTTAATACTACATTCACAACTGAGTTCAACTCTGGCACAGTGTCTGAATTGAAGTTGTGCTTCTGTTGAATATGATAATTGAGATCAGCATGGTAGAAGCACAACGTTTGAACTGGGTCTATTAAATAATAATAGAAATGAAACACTCTAAATGGGATATTCTTACCAATGGTTCATGGCCCTTCATGGATGATGACCCTCCACTACCTATCTGAGGAGGGGGTGAAATATCAGGAGTTACAGGATTAAACAAGCGGACGTGTTGAGTCTTGACATCATCTGCCACTGACATGGTCTGCGTCACACTGGTATTGTATGGTAGAGAGGATGATGTGGACTGAGGGCTGTAGTCCATTGTGGACATCAAGGAGAAGAATCTGAGTTATAGCTACCAAGGAAAGGAAACGTTTACTACTACGCTCAGTAAAACCCCGCCTTATGGCCATCTCGGTAGTATGGTCACCTCGTTAAATATATGGCCAAATTTTTTTGGCCCATTGGTGATCGTATTAATGGAGTTCCACTGTACGTGAAAATATTTAACATAGCTAGGATAATGGCATCATAGGAATGTTGTAAATGTCTCATAGACCTAAAATCGGACCAGCTGCTGGGAAAAAACGTCCAGATCTCAAGGAGAAAGTTGAAAAAATTTATTTTCGTGACGAAAAGAAATATTGAAGATGCATGCAGTTACCAGTATGAGTGGAATTAGTGCAATATAAACTGAACTACATGATCATACATAATAAGAGTAATCTTATCATACAGATTGAAATAGAACATGTCAATATCTTGAAGTTCTTTGCAAATTACTAGATTTTCCGCTACAATCGCAAAAAAAAGAAACATCACTTCAATGACAGTGGTGACCGTAGAAACTTGCATGATGCATGTTTTCTAACTTGTGACTTTCATGAACCGCATCTGTGGACATAGCTTGTGAAATGAAACCATCGATCTTCCTCCCGTAGAGCACGATCCTGAAAGATTTTTCTAAGGTCGTTAAAGAACCCCAGGAAATTTCAAGATCCTTTGAAGGAAGTTCAAATTAATATAATCAATTGTCTAGCGTGACGCGACGCCATGTTTTGTGATCGACTTAAACTATCTTGAAGATTGAACGAAAGTAGAACTACGACTTACCTAAATGAAAGGCATAAGGATGTCGATGTCTTATCTTTCTTATCTTTTATATCCAAAAGAACACAGGAAAAGTCGTTGAAAACTTGTCAGCTACAAAACAGTACGACCGTTGTGAAATGCAAACAAACATAAGATCAGAAAATGTGACACTAGTACCAGTCTCTGCATGCGCGACTGTCATGCAAAGCGTCACAGGGAGGGGGTAAGTTAGAGAAAAGTTTTGCTAAAAACGATTTTTTTGCCTGCTTTAAAATAGTCTTTGGAAAAACAAATAAACAGGAAATATAAAAATTTTAAATTTAGACTAATTTCAAAAACATTTATGATGATTATTTCAAGTTTGATATAGATAAAATAAAACCTTGATTACCCCACCCTGCTTATAAAGTATTTTAATTTGTTTTGGCGGGAGTTTTTCCGACACTTCGAAGCTGCCATTTTGTAATCAAGTTTGCAATTGCCTGGTGTATTTTTCAACATTGTGAGTACAAGATGGACCAAAATACTACCCAAATGTCTAGAGAATATGAATATGAAATTCAGTTTTTTGGATTCACTCCAGATTCATTCGTAAATGGAGGTAAGACTGAGTTCTAATGTCATCTTGTTTAGAAAGCTAATCAACTTAACTCAGCTGAGATAGTTTTTGTGTCCACAGAACTTTTCCTTTTTGTGTATTACTTCCTCAGTTTATAATGCTGTTAATGACTATGTGGTTGACTGCTTTCAAGAACTTGAAAATCTTGTCAAAAGCGAGGTAGGTCTTAACATTGAGTTTGAATCTATAGTCTGTATGCTTTGACACTTTACAGCACTCACTTTTGAACTTCGTCCTAAATAGATAGTGGATAGTGGGCAAGGGCCTGTTTGGAGTGGGGTAGAGACAAGAAAAGTTAAAAAAGTTCAAATTTCAAGTAATCCGTATCGCAGGCTTAGATGTTTTCCGTATAACAACAGTTTAGCTTTTTGAAGTGCAAGCAAGAATCTGACATATGGGATACCCCCACCCCTGCCCACCACCAAGGGTCAACAAAACCTGAATCGTAGCCTTGTAGTAGGCGCCGGTAATTATTACATAACAGGCTGTGCGAGGGGAACATGAGTTGTCGAGATTTCTTCCCTTGCCCTGAAAAAAGTTGGCACTATGGATGCTACCTGGATTGGACCAGATTGGATCAAGCTACCTCTGTGATTCACTAAACAACAAAATTTAGGGATAGGGTTACAGGGGTTGAACCGACCCAGTCCAATCCACGTAGTGTCCTCCTCTTTCACCCCCCACCCCCACCTCTTTACAGCTGTTCACCCCAGTCCAGTTGAATACCAACCACGAACATCTGATTTATGTGATTATTTAACTTGAAAACTATTACTCTCTTCACAGCCATCACTGTCTGGAAATGTTAATCAAGAACAACTTCACGAGGTATGATTCACTACAAAATATTAAAGGCAGCAGCCGCTTCAGCAAAGACCAACAACATTTTTGGTCTGATGATGGAGCCAGTAATTTTTTGAAGGTTTTCAGCCCTAAAAATTCCTGGGTTGCCATAGCCTCCAATTACAGACATATTTCCTGTTGTCACTTCTCTCCACCCTTTTTGGGTGGTGAGAAGCTACAACCGGAAATACGTCTGCATTCGCAGGCTAGGGATGCCACTTAGGTGTTCACAAAGGCTTCCCATCAGATTACTATTGTATCATTGCCCATACAGATCTGAATATTGTTAAACAATAATAATAATATTGATAACAATGAAATTACTGTAATTCTGTATTTCACCTAGGAAAGTGATAAAATGGCTAATAATTTCTACAAGAGCATAGACGAGGCTTTTGACAGATTTGAGGTAGGAAACAAAGGAATGGTTTATCATAACGTTGCTAACAGTGTTTGAATACCTGTACATGTAACTATAGTGTTGTTTAAATATATTATTATTTATTATAATTTGTTGATTTGTTTTTCACAGATCTATGTAAAGAAAAACATCTTAAAAATTCCTCCTCATGTTCTCTTACCTGAAGATAAGGTAAAAAAATGACTATTTCCCATCAGGTTAATTACCATCTAAAGGCCCAATGTGATTTTGTCATTAATTTTGTCACTTAATTTTATATGAAGACGCTTATTATTAAGGAGGTTGCCAGTCTGTGTATGAAATCCTATGGTGCTACCATTAGAGTGAAACCTTGATTCGGTAGTATTTTCACATGGTACTATCCTAGTATGTTCTAAATGTAGAGTGTGAAGATAATATCCTATGGTGTGACTAATTTGGTTTAAAGAAAAGCACTTGTAAAGACTGTTTTGTATTTAACAAGTAATAACTGATTTTACATATGGACATACATTCCTTATTTTGTTGATTATTGGATTATTTTATTGACTATTAGACAAGTAATTGTAGTTAGGTGTCCTTAGTTAGTGTACAACGTATACTAGCAACCTTGACACTATAATACTGTTCTTACTTACTTACTTGCTTCCAGTTTTTATCTTTCTTTGTTTTTGACCCATTAATGTACATTAGAACTAAGGAAGTTAACTTTAAGGCCAAGGATTTTTTTAGCACACAGCTACTATGTTAGATTTATGATATGAAGTAGTTGAAAAACTGTTCATTGGTCTGGTCAGGTGCACCATGATAAACTATATACAGTGGAAGATGAGAAAAAGGTTGACAAGGAGATTGAAGAACTGGAAAGAAAAATCAAAGCAGTAAGTACAGGTGTCGCGGAAAGTATTAGAGTTTGGACCTTGTAATGTTCTTAGCCTGAGAAAACAGCCAACATTTTGAAATGCCACCACCGTTTTCCCTGGAAAACAACATCTGAGGAAGGAGCACAGAAATTCCATTCTAATGACGTGTCACTACCCAGATCTGGGTAGTGCTTGGTCATGCAACATCTTTGCTTCAACCAAATTGTTTGAAGCAAAGTTCCCACATTGCACGGCCAATCGGAAGCTCTGCCCAGATCTGGGTAGTGACACATCTTCATTTTGGAATTTCTCTACACTTGGGAAACCAGTGGTGTCGGCAAAGGTCAGCTATTTTCTCAGGCTTCGTTAACTTTCTGCATTTTTTTGTGGTCGGGGGGAGGGGGGATAAGAGGAGTACTTAAGTTAAGTTTAGTGTAGCAGTTGCCACCAAAGGGGAGTAGCTACCTGTACACCAGTACATGCATCTGAAAAATGTGTTGAACAAAAATAGAAAAACAAGGCAAGTGAACAGAAGTTAAAAATGGCGCAACTGCCCTTTACGTAACTCAAAATGCATTGTTTTTTCCCTTATTTTGTCACACGTGGAAGCCATAACTAGTACCTGAAAAATATGGTCCTGAGACTAAAGGAGATTTTTACCTCACCAGATTTAAAAAATGGAAATGTAATCAAGTCACACACATGAAAACAATTGGGGAAACAGTGTGGGATTGATTTGGAAAACTGTGCATACCTCCAGAAAATTTTTTAACCCAACCCCTGCCACTTTGTCATTAACCTTTAAGTCCCAATAGTGACCAACAGCAATTTTCTCCTAACAATACCCATAGATTGTCAAGAGATAAGGTTGTGAGAATATAAAAAATGATCATGAAAGAGAAAATGCCGTGATGTTTTGTTAAATTCTCTCAACTGATTCTTAAAGGAAATGTATGGAGATCAGGTTAGAGAATTTGTATGTGGATACTTGGGCTTAAAGGGTTAAGCCAACAACAACAAAAAAAAGTGTCTATTTTTTAGCCAAATTACTTTGGTTGTCAAGAGGTGGTTGAAACGTCGTGTTCCACTGCATTTCACAAGTTAGAAAGTAGCAACCTTCTCAATATGAGTGCTGTGCATTAATAGAAATAAAAATTGATATTTTGTTTGCCAGTTAACTGATCACCACTTCTAATTTATAATAACAGGCCAAGTACGTAAATACAGCACTGAAACAGGAAGTAAAAGATTTGGATGATGCACAAGAACAGGTGAATAATGTTGGATGTTGGGTGTGAGCACAAAAAATTACCAAGTTCTGGGCCCTGTTCCTCGAAGGATAGTTAACTTTAACCCAGGATTAAGCCAGGTTATCTTGTCTAAGGACATGTAACTCGAGCTTATAAAATACTGACATTGACCCTTTACTCCGAGATACAGTCATGATACACAAAATGTTACTCTAAGCAATACATAGGAAGGTAAAACACAAAATCGGAACAAAATTTTAATCCTAAATTAGCACTAATCGGCCTCTAAGGAACTGCGCCCCGTTTGTGAAGAGTACTGTTTTTTGAATTTTTTTGTTAATGGACGTTTTTTGAAAACACTTTAGCTTGACAACTTTGGAAAACAGATGGATGTGATACAAAAGGCCTCAGAAGGTACTTGAAGTTCTTGATCAATATTGTTGCCATTATTCGGTTTTCTCACATAGTCTCAAGATTTTTGTTGACTTTGTCAGATCTACCTGTTGAATTTTATTTTTGTCAGGTCTCAAGGAGAGTCTTGCTGTCACATTTGAAGAAGTAAAGAAAGTTCATGAAATGATATCAGATGGGCTCAGTGCAGGAACGCTTCAAGTTCAGGTATAAAATTGTTCAAATTGGCAAAAAAGTCAGCAAATTCCCAGCTTGGCTGTGGTGAATGAAAAGCTTTGTACTATATGTACTAAAGATATGCTTTTTTTTTTCACTTTGTGCCCCTCTTTCAGACCTCATCTGATGGAAACTGTCCAAAAGACAGCAAAAAGAAGAAAATAAAACTAGGATGAATGAAGGCATGGCAGCTTAAAGAAAATATTAATTATTTAATATTAATAAGCATCAGGATGACAGTAGTACTACTCTGTAGCTCTGACTTTTAAATAGTCATCCTTTTAAATAGTCATCCTTGAAGACCCAGGAATTATTAGAATTTCCTAATTCTGGTGGACCAGAAAAATCAGAAGTGCAGAATTCAAACACTACAGCATGAGACTACTGAAATTGGTTTGGTATGATAAGGTGCCCAAGGGCTCACCTGTTCCTCTTGCAAACTTTGCAAGTTGCAACGATTTTGTGCACAAATAACCATCTGTTGCTCGTGTTAAGAGCAACACGAGCAACACCAGAACATGCAACACTTAATGTCTTATACTTCAAAGTAATGAATAAGATCAATGAAATGAAGTGAAATACCAGTAGCTCTTTATTAAAAAACATTTTCTAACAATAATAATTATATAAACTGTTTTGTGAGAATTTTTCTCATGCGAATTTTGTACAAAGAAACATGCTTGTTTAAATACAAGAATAAACTTATTTTGTTAACTCTTAGGTTGTTTTTATGTTGTAAACATGGTAAAGAGATTCAGGGGAAAAAAAATTCACATTGCATTTAGACTTCACTGGGATGCATATCTTACTAGTCATCACTGTGTAGCTGATAGGATGATATTCCATTAAAATATCAAAAAGTGTCAATGAGGTGAGCCAGCCTGGTTAGCTGCTCTGGCCCACTTTACTGCCTGGCTAAGCCGCTCAGCTCATGCCTTGTTTCCTCATAAAATTTGTAATGTGTTTTTATAAGAAGGTGGGCTGGGCCGCTTTCAGAGATCCTGGCTGGCTGTGGCTGCTTGAACTGAGATTTCATTCAGCAGGCCAGCCTGCCTTCAAAAGAAAACCTTGTTCTGCAATTTTCATTGACACCATAAGCAGCCAGTCTTGTAACATGCCAACCAAGATAGAGTTATTCATGTCAGTAAGTCTTGTTTGTTTCCCTTCCCCTGATTCTCTTGAAAAAAAAAAACTTCAACCCTGACTCATGCAAATATGAGTGTGTATGCCTTTAGTGTATACTGCACATCGTTATTGCGGGCCCTCAGCCACACTTCTTCCTGTGTGGTTAGATATGGCAGACCACAAAAAAATGGTGGAGGCTCTTTAAAACTCTAACATACATCACAACAAACCACTAATTCATGCTAATGATCAGTTAGTGCCACTCAGATTTAGCTGAAGGCTCTTTTGTAGCCTAGGTAGTAAGTCCTGGTAAACATGACAGATACAGTAGTAAGTGTAATGCCCAGAATTATGGGAATCAAAATATTATAACGTGATTCTCTGTCAACAGGCACCCCATGTGAGCCTTTGTACATGATCAGTTTTCTGTCGAGTTGATTTGATGAATCCTAAAAATTGTAGTTCAGAGACTGCTTGAATGAAGCGAGCGCTGTAAGTAAGGTTAAGGCAAATTAAGAAACTTTAATTGTTACTTTGGAAATTTTTCAAAGAAACATGCATTAGAGGTCTCAACATGCCAGAAACTGCCGAGGGCCTGCAGGGCAATTCAGACACTTACACAACTGTTAGGTAAGGAATTAAATTAATGAAAAAAAAAAAGATACTGAAGCTGTTCATCTGTTTTCTGTTTCTTCTTTGGTGTGCCTTTTGAGGACTGCTGTTCTGTTGAGGGCTCAAGAACGGCTATAAATGCCTGAGAAAAAAAGAGGGCTTTCGAGCATCAAAATAAGAAGTGTGACAACCTGTCAAATGTTTGTCACTTGGATACAAAAGGTATGGTAGGCTCTCAGACTCCAAGCAGAAATAAGTTACTTACAGATCCTATGGGTCTGGCTTACATTGGAACCTCCCCAGACAGTCAGTAATGTTAGAGCTGCTTGTAAGGTGCTTCCTCATTGGTCACAGAAAACAATAACACATTGTTTATCATTATTTCCCATTGTTTCACAGTTAGGGTATCAAACCAATTGGCTTTTAGGGTTAAGAGCCAACAGCTAATCTAAAGTGACATCAAAATTTTTATGATGTGCATTTATTTACCTGAAGCCAGTCATAGAGGTTAATCAACCTGCCACACTCCTGGTGAAGTTTGTAAGCTATGCATATGTCTGGTAAAGTATCCTGCACCGTTCCTACATCTGTCTGACAACATTGACACTGAAAATAAGAAAAAAGAAGAGCTGTTTCTCAACAGAAGAAAATTTTAGCCTATGGTTTATCTCTCGCCTCTGACTTTCCAGTCATGCTTCTTTCTTGCAAATCAAATGTGTTAACATCATGTATCAAGCAAATTCTGACCTGAAGATAATGCTGAGGATTGCTGAGTGCTGTCTGGATAGCAACACGAGGCATTCCAACCAAATGCTATAATCAATGACAAAACAATGATTCAAATTTTCTCACATGACTTGACTGCAGAGTAAACATTAAATGTTAACAATGGCAGAATTAGCTAGGTTAGCTTATACTCAATGTTTTAAAATAATTATGGAATGAAAGTTGAATAGCCTTTGCCATGCAAATGGCTTGACCTTCACATGGCTCCAAAGACCACGTAAAATGGTGGTCTTGTCTCCAGTAGGGGATGTATAGTGTCCTTTACTAGCGCTTTTGTTCTAAATACACTGACACTCATTTTTTTTATTTACAAGTTCAGTGCACACCTGTTCAATACATTCCAGCACTCCAGTGTTCAGTACAATAATTCATTTAATATGAAACACATAACTGGGAACTAAGCATAACTAAGAAAAGATGGCACAGTACATACAAAATGCAATAATAATAATTATTATAAAACCAGAAACTCATAAGGGGTTATGGGTTTCTGATAAAACTTAATCATACNAGCCTTTGCCATGCAAATGGCTTGACCTTCACATGGCTCCAAAGACCACGTAAAATGGTGGTCTTGTCTCCAGTAGGGGATGTATAGTGTCCTTTACTAGCGCTTTTGTTCTAAATACACTGACACTCATTTTTTTTATTTACAAGTTCAGTGCACACCTGTTCAATACATTCCAGCACTCCAGTGTTCAGTACAATAATTCATTTAATATGAAACACATAACTGGGAACTAAGCATAACTAAGAAAAGATGGCACAGTACATACAAAATGCAATAATAATAATTATTATAAAACCAGAAACTCATAAGGGGTTATGGGTTTCTGATAAAACTTAATCATACACTGGTAAAAGGTAAAAAACAGTCAAGTAAAAATATACGTTAAAAGTAAAAATTAGGGTGCAAATAAACTCAAATAAAATTAAAAAATAATAAAACAAAAGTTGCATCCAAACCTTTCTTGTTGTTTGTACATTGTCATAGTACATAACTTCATTCAGTGGCAGGTTACGTGGACAAGACAGGTATTTTCTGATAAAAAAAAATAGCAAATTAATTTATTGTTATTGTATTGACTATTAATTTAGTTGTTCTGCAATATTTTTCTTCTGTACTCTTTACTGATCTTCAATGTTACCTGAACATGTCATCTAATATGTCCACCACTCTTTGCCGCAACTTGTCATATGGGGATTCTTTCCTTTTCTGCTTTGCTGCATTCATGAGTCTCTGCCATAAAAACAAATACAAAAGAGTTTAAAGATCTTGTGAAAAGGAAAAAGGAAAAGCTGTATGTTAATCATGTACATTTCAGTGAGTTATGATGTGAGTATAAATTTAGCACTCGGATCTAGAAGTGGAGACTGATGTTTGTGAATCTAAGAATTTGCACGTTTGAACATTACCTTCCTACATGATTTATCTGGGATCATAATAACCAACTAGTAATCATTATGGTTGTTATGACAGACCTCTTGCAGTTCAAATCTATTTGCAACAGTTGAAAGTGCCTCCTTCTGACTTGAATTTGATCTCTGTTCTTGATTCTCTTGAGCAGCTGTAAGTATAAAGGACAGTGGCATTCAGTAAAGTCTGTTTGAAACAAAAAAGGTAAGGAAGCATGTAAACCACCTAGATGATTTATTTTTTGAAAAAAATCAACCAATACTGGATGAGGTTGCCCTCTGAGTTCAATAA